AACTGCCTCTTGGTCCAGGTACAGATTTCTCAGAAGTACAATTAAGTGTTCTGGAATACTCATACTTCTCAATGTTGTCCATAGCTTGTCATGATCCACATAATTGAAAGCCTTCATATAGTCAATAAAGCATAGGTAAACATCCTTCTGATATTTTCTGCTTTCAGCCAAGATTATTCTTCTAGCATACTAGTATTGAGAGATTTCTCTTCAAGCTCACTAAATTGAGCTCCCTTTGCTTCCCAACTACTCCTTTACCCTTTCACTGTAATGTCCCTTTCTGAGAGGTTAGTATTAATCTTCTAGATTTCTAATAGTAGGTTTTGTATTGTTTCAACATTTGCATTTATTTTGTCTGTTCTTGTAGTGTTTTCCAGAATTCTTCTAAAAGTTTTTTTGTGTTCTTGCTTTTCTTGATCTTTGTACCAATCCTTTGAAGGTCCCTAATTATTATTATTTTGAATTCTTTTTTAGTTAATTCCATTACCTTTTCTTGCTCAGAATTGTTTTTTTTCTCTACATCTTAGTCATTTGTTTGAGCCCTTCTCTCTTGTTCTTTCGTGTGAGCTAAAATTGTCTGCTGTCTCCGGGGCATTGTAGGGTTATCATATTTGTAAAAACAAAGAATGCAGTTGTTGGACACTGAGGGGAGAAATCTTGGGGGCTCCTGAAATTCAAAGAACTCATGAGGTGGTTGTGAAAGGGATGTGACAGCAGAGTTCCTGGCCCTAGATGGAGTTCCTATTGGCTTTGGTGTTATCTATGTTCAGGGCACTCAACCTAGAAGTAGTTTGTGGAGTCCCTAAATGGAGTTGATTTCAGTGTCTGTTAGGCCAACAGGGCCGCTGGGCGCAGCGTGACTGGTTAAATGCTGGTCAGGTGGCTGTGCAGCTTTTGTAGGTCTGGAGCCATGCCCACCAGAATCAGACACCAAAGTGGCACACCAAAGCAGTGCAGCTGGCCTCATCTCATACTGGTGTGGCTCTCAACCATGTGGTTCCAGAGTCTGTGCTGGGGGGTGGGTGAGGGTGGGAGCTGGACACACTTTCGGTCACAAGGGGAGCGTGGGGAAAAAGAAGAAACTGAAACTTTTTAGTTGCCCACCCAAATCTACTCTGCCAGAGCTCCCTCCACTTCCAAAGCTTCTCACAAGATGGTGGTGCTACGTCTGGCCGATTGTTCACCAGTCAGTCTCCCTCTCTCACCATCCTGGCCTCTCCTCCCAACAAGCACACCATCCACCTCTCTAACCTTTCTTCTGAAGTTCAGGGTGCCAGAATTCTCATCTGTATCTGTTTTATTTTGTCTCTTGTATCTTTGTTGTAGAGGGTCTGTGTAGTGTGTCTGCTTATTCTGCCGTCTTGTCCAAAATCTCCATCAGTATCTTTTATTTTATTTATTTATTTTAATTAAATGTTTTTATTTTGGAT